GGAATCAAAATTAGAGTGCTGTGCACTGCAGCACAGAAAATCTAATTCAAGCAACAGTTGATAGGCATATAATGCAATTATGTATTTTTTTCTTTCAGTACTGTTAAAAAGCCAGATGCATAGTGATGCAGAGGAGACAGAAATGGCCTCTATTTTAAGAGAATGCCGCAATCTAGCAAATATTAACCCCGAGGCTCTTCTGAGACGTTCCAGAGCCAAGCAAAGAATTTGTCCCTAAATTACCACATTCATAAAATGCATCAACTAGACAGAATCAATTCAGTACCTCCATTAGATGATTTTTTTTTTTTAAAAAAAAGCCATGAAAGATAAGAGTTAAAAAAGAGTTGACAAACCTTGAAAACCTGCGCCATGCCTGGTCTGCACCACTGTCAGAGCACAGGACCATTTTCGCTGGAGGGGACTGTAATGTTTTCCTTTTTAACTTTCCTTTTGAGAGTTATTTTAAGGTGCTGGCAGCGCTGCTCCCAGGAGGACTCTTGCAGGTTTGGAGCTGTGAGTTCAAGCAGGTTCCTCCACAGGGGAGTGAGTGTCCATCCGTGTGCATCTCCTTGCTGGAGGGAGGGGTGGGGAAGACTAGCTCTGCTGTGTGGGATGCAAACCAGGGCTTTTTGGCTTTTGAGCGGGGCTGGATAAATAAGGGCAGGAGATTGGATGGCTTGGATGATGTTTGAGAAGACAGGTTCAAGTGAGAATATGACCAAGAAGGGGTTCTGGTGGAAAGAATTAGAAACTTTGCTTTCCTGTGAGGAGTGTGGAGACAGTGCAAACATACCAGCTACTTACTTAGATATCCTTGCGATTCTTTCTGCATAGCTGTTATCGGACAGTCTTTATGTGTTAACAATAACTGTTTCAGCTGTGCTACCTCATTTTTCAGCATGGAAACCTCATTCTAGAAAAGAAAGAGAGGGTTTAGTTGGCCACAAAGTTTAAACCAGACTCTTCTGCAAACATTAAACCCAAGAACACAGAAACTGCTCCACAACTTTGGAAGAACTGGTAAAAAATGCCACTCAGTGCTCATGTGCTGGATTTGTATTAACATTTGTCCATGACATTATTTTATAACTTCTTCTGAAGGCAATGTGGCTTCCAGATTCAAAGACATGAATTGACAAGCCAACTAACCCTTCACAAGACCAAAGATAAGTTAAGGAGTGTTTTAATCCACTTGGGAAATCCTCTGGCTCTCTGCATCGGGATGGGGGGCTGGACCTATGGGGTCAAATGACAGCCCTGGCAGGGCTGCTGTCACCTAGAGCATGTCATCTACACAGCTCTGCTACAACCAGAGCCTAGGTGCTGCTCACACCTCTGCATTTCAGGGGAGTGCACACAAACAGTTCCCACCCTTGGCAGCACACAGACACACCTCCAGATGGGGCAGAAGTATTGTGCTCACTGCACCACCTAAGAATAGCTTTTATCATAGTCAGAGTAGCTTCATCCATCCACTTAATCTTTTTCTTTCTGGTAGACTGCTCTATTTATGATCGTATCTCCCTGGCTTTCAATGAGGGTTTAGCTACATGCCTTGCTCTGAAGAAGCCTTTTATGGCCGAGTTGATGGCACTTCCAAAAAAAAAAAAAAATCCCCACAAAAAGCGATGACAGGAAAAGAAACTAAATACAATTCTGTCTAGCAAAGGCTTCAAAATCCCAAGACATCTTTTTCCTGGCTTATCCCACTAAAATGCAATTATTTCTTTAATTGAAGCACACACATCTTGATTAATCGGCTTCAATTCTGCCTGGGTGTGCGGGAGCAGCCCCAAGGGCAGCAAGGGCAGCTGGCACCGCTGGCCCCTCTGAGCACAAAGAGCCCCTCTGTGTCCTCAGGGGCGTAGACAGTGGCTCGCACCTGAAGCTGCATGTTTGTCTGGGTGAGCTCTTCTGCTTTCTTTTCCAGTGACATCACCCAGACCTTCCTCTTCTGTCTGCAGCGCGTGGCGGCGGCTCGGTTTCTTTCCAGAAATTTCCGCCTCCTCTCATCCGGGTCTTCGTCCACCACTCTCCTCCGGCGACCTCCAGTCGGCTGTGGCGGCTGTATCGTCTGCGTGGGCTGCATCTGCTGTGCTGCTGGCGAAACCTGGCCGGGAAGAAGAGGTTTGGCAAGGGGTGGTGAGGGGGGAAAACTATGGAGGGGGATGCTGAACAGGGAAGGGAAATCTCACACGCTCGTCCTGCTCCCCAGTGAGGTCTGCAACAGGCGCAAAAGGCTGCGCCAAATGCCACTGCAATGAGCTGCTGGCAAACCCTTGCCACGGTCCAAGGGGAAATTTAAAAAAAAACGATTCTCTGAATATTTGTAAGGAAAATATTTTTTCCCCTTGCAGTTATTAAAAATGGTTCATTTAGGTCCTTTCCTTACTACCACCTATTTCAAAGTTCAAATGTCAAGTACCTCTCAGCAACTGTTTTAATCAAAGCAGAAAACTGTAGAGGGTTTCTTTCTCTTTCTTTTCTTTCCTTTCTTTCTTTCTTTCTTTCTTTCTTTCTTTCTTTCTTTCTTTCTTTCTTTCTTTCTTTCTTTCTTTCTTTCTTTCTTTCTTTCTTTCTTTCTTTCTTTCTTTCTTTCTTTCTTTCTTTCTTTCTTTCTTTCTTTCTTTCTTTCTTTCTTTCTTTCTTTCTTTCTTTCTTTCTTTCTTTCTTTCTTTCTTTCTTCCTTTCTTCCTTTCTTCCTTTCTTTCTTTCTTTCTTTCTTTCTTCCTTCCTTCCTTCCTTCCTTCCTTCCTTCCTTCCTTCCTTCCTTCCTTCCTTCCTTCCTTCCTTCCTTCCTTCCTTCCTTCCTTCCTTCCTTCCTTCCTTCCTTCCTTCCTTCCTTCCTTCCTTCCTTCCTTCCTTCCTTCCTTCCTTCCTTCCTTCCTTCCTTCCTTCCTTCCTTCCTTCCTTCCTTCCTTCTCCCTCTCTTTCTTTCTCTCTTTCTCTCTTTCTTTCTCTCTTCCTTTCTCTCTTTCTCTCTTCCTTTCTCTCTTTCTCTCTCTTTCTTTCTCTTTCCTTTTCCCTTCTTTTTGTTTTAAATAAGTAAAATTTCCTCCACAATTTTCAGGAATCTCTATTTCACAGGCTTCTCCATCCCTGTCTCATGCTTTACCACCTCTGGGGACAAGAGCTGCAATGCTCTTTGCACCTGAGTAGATCTGGAAAGCTATGGGCTGGGATTGCACAAGGCTAGCAGACCTTGGTGCCCCTCAGCTGGGAGCAAAAGAAATTTAGGTACCTGAACTGGAACCTGCATTTTGGTATCCCTGCACTGTGAGGCGAAGGGATATTCCTCTTCTCAGGTATTTCCATTTGACCTCTGTGGGTGCTGTACTCCTTTTTTTTTTTCAGCAGCCTGGCTTCAAAAGCAGAGGCACACTACATCCAATCCTGCTGCTACAAAACTATGGAAAAATATGTATTTATGCTTTTTCAAGAGCAGGAGAGTATTGATCCTGCTCCTGAAAGTTAACAGGTCAGTGCCACTACAGAGAAGGCACATGGTGAGGGCAGCCCAAAGTAGTCTGTGCTACAGCTCCTGAGCCAATGAAACACATGCCCGTGGCTCTGTCAGGAACAAGCATCAGACTTAAAGTTAATCTGCCTGGGAATAGCCAGCTTTTGGATTGCTTTCCTGCCTATATGAGGCACTGAGGTAACAGGGCTCTGAGCTGGGCTTGGGAGCCTGACCCAGGTGTCCCATGGCTTGCGCCCAGCGGGAGCTGCTGCTGTGGCTCACGTTGCTGCTGTAGCTCCAGCACATTCTGGAACAGTCTGGAAACGTGAATTGTTGACTCAAAATTTACCTTCTTATTCTGGCAAAGACCCAAACCTCCAAGGTGCTTCCTTTTGACTTCAGGGAGTGGACGTACTCAGTGCTTTGTCAGACTTGAGCCCTGAATTTCAATTGTGGCAATTAACATGTGTTTGCCTAACATCTCTGTCTGGCTCAATTAAAATGATACTATCGTCTTGCGAGGTTGCTTTTCTGTCTAGAATCTCACCACAAACTGTGAAGAAGAGTTTGCTTCCTCTCCCAGCTGACTTGTGTCAATTCAAGTGGCAATTTTATGTGTAATTATTCTGTGCATCTGATAACGCTTTTTGCATAAAGCCAAATTTATTCCCAGCTTTATGTTGCACAGACAAGGAATCTCTCTCATGGGAGCAGAATTTTATTTTATTTTTTAAAAAATAACCTTCTAAAAATAAAAAAGCCACACTGAACATTCTGACTGATATTAAAAATTTCAGCTTGTATTAAGTCTGTATGTTTGCTGGTAAAATCTCCAACCCTCTGTCCACACTGGAGGTTGGAGTCCTAGGGCTTCAAGCAGTTGCAGAAGCTGCAGCCACCAGTGCCCTGCAGGCAGGACCACCAGCCACTGTCCTTGTTCCCACCAGTGTCCCCAGCCTGCCTCCAGGAGACTGCTGCCGAGAGATGCCAGCTGCTCCTCATCCACCCAGGCTGGGCATGCTGCCTCTTTAGCAAGATGTCTGAGTTCAGAGGCCTCAGAGATCCCTTTTAATGTCAACACCTCATCAAAAACCTTTCATTTTCTCACATACAACATCTTTCAGAACTTCAAAGATTTGTTATTTAAGTTTCTGGACACCAAAAGCTTTTCTTCTTTTTTTTATTCAGCATTAAAAATTCTTGTTTCTTAACTCTCCCGATCAGGTCTGCAACACTGGCAGAAAATAGTAACTATAAGTTTCTTTTTTTTTTTTTTTTTCTCTTTTTCCTCATATGATCATTTTCTCCTGAATAACTGGTGAGTCATTTTGTTTTCAAAATGTAGCACTTGGTCTTTGGGCAGTCAGAGTGCAATTTCAGAACAACAGAATCTTCTCTCTATTTCTGGCAGATATTAATCATAAAAGTTGCTATTACATCACTAATAATGTCACATGGGATAATTAACTGACTCTTACTAGATAGCGCTTAACCCTGAAATCTGTTAGGTTATATCTTGGTAACTGTCTAAGCATAATTCTGTCGCAGGATTTTGCTGCCCTGCCTAGGGACCTAAGAAAGAAAATTAACAAATAAACATGTATTAAAACTCAGTTTTTGTTGTTGTTGCTGTTGTTGTTTACTTTTGAGTGGTTTTTTTTTTAGATGATGCTAATCAAGTATCCATAATGAAGACAAGCATAGGATAGCTAATAGAATGAAACAACATCCAAACCACTATATTGCTTAAGCTATCACTCTGGCAAGTTTAATATCAAGAAACCTTCATAGGACCAACACAAGAATAGTTGCAGTAGTTGAGGCAACACAGCTACAACTCAGTAAAATATCCCTCTCTCTCAGAAAGATACCTATCAGAAGGTGATTTCTACTTTTTTCCTTGATCCAATACTTCCTGTTCTTTGCAGCTGGCTACAAAACTCATACCCTTTCATTCATGCTGCAAGAGCATAATTCATTTGGGTCCTGTGTATCAAAATGGTAGCTGAAAAGCGTGAAATGAATTTTGACATTACAGAGGGGTGTGGTGTAAAATAACATCAGTCTCTGCATGGGACCACAAGGATCACAGCAGCATGGACCATGCTGTCATTTGGCAGGGGGTCTGGAATAAAAGAATCTGGCTCAGAAGAATAAGGAGATTAATAATAAGTAAAATGCACCATAAAATTAGTGTCTGCTGGAGCAATCTGACCCACAAAGAGGCCATTACCACAGGGACTATGGATGAGCTTAGAAAGTAATAACTATGTGATTATTACTCAGCAAACCCTTATTTTTTCCCCACTCATGCACCTGCTCAGAAGTCACTTTGCACCACAGCAGCAGGCCTGCAGCAAGAGCTCTGCTGCCAGGGAAGCCATTTTCCCAGGGAGTCCTGCTCAGCCTCCTCAGCCATCACCCTCTGTTCCCATCCTCTTGGTAACACTTAGACCTATGAACAAGGTGAAGAGCTCCTTGAACCCTGATGGGGCCAGCTGCCTCCAGAGATACGCTGTGCAAAGTAAAGCTCATCTGATTCCGGGCTTGGATTGAGACTGGAGAGAATGTGACACAGTTTTGTGGCTGCAAGTCAGCCCACCTACCCTGGTGTCCATATTTCTTCTTGCCTGCCTGTTAATCTCTCAAGGTGCACAGCTAACAGGGAGTAAAAAGCACAGTAAGTCGAGGCTGCCCTAACCGGAATGACTCTGCCAGTCAGCCCACCTACCCTGGTGTCCATATTTCTTCTTGCCTGCCTGTTAATCTCTCAAGGTGCACAGCTAACAGGGAGTAAAAAGCACAGTAAGTCGAGGCTGCCCTAACCGGAATGACTCAAACCCATATCAAGCATCACACAGGTTAAGAGGAATAGGTGGATGTTAAGGTAGGACCCTCTCGATCATCTACCAAAGTTCTTGGGAGTCTGGGGAGGTCTATTCCAACTGGAAGCTAGCCAATGCTATTCCACCCTACAGAAAGGCCATGAGGGAAGACCTGGGGAACTACAGGCCTGCTAGTTTAACCTCTGTTACTGGGAACTTTATGGTGAAGATTATAGTGGGTACTACTGAAACACATTTTAAGAATAATGCAATTAGCAGGCACAGGCAATGTCGGTTCACAAGGGGACAGTCTATTTAACTACTTTGATATCCTTCTATGGTAAGGTCACCCACCTAGTGGATTGTAGATTTGCTGGATTTTAGTTAGGCTTTTGATACTGTCCCTGTCAGCATCCTCCTGGACAAGTTGTCCAACTGTGAGATGAGCAGATACGTGGTGCACTGACTAAAGAACTTGCTGAAGGGCAAAGCTTAAGGGGTTGTGCTTAATGGGGCTACATTTAACTGGTGACTGGACATCAGCAGTATTCCTCAGGGACCAAGTCTAGGGCCAGTTCTGTTTGATCTTTTTATCAATGATCTGAATGCCAGAGTTGAATGGACCATTAGCAGGTTTGATGATGATACCAAACTGGGATGTGCTGTTGATTCTCTTCAGGGACAAGAGGAATTTCAGAGGGATCTAGACAGATTGGAGCATTTAGCAATCATCAATGGCATGAAATTTAACAAGTCAAAATGCTGAGGACAGTAATGCTAGGCACAAGTATAAACTGGGAGAGGACTGGCTGGAGACCAGCCTTGCAGGAAGGGATCTGGAGGTGCTGGTCAACAGCAGGATCAACAGGAGCCAGCAGTGTACCCTGGCAGCCAAGAGGGCAAACTGCATCCTGGAGGGCATGTGAAGGTCCTTGAATGTGTTCAAAGCAGAGTAACAAAGCTGGTGAAAGGGCTGGAAAGAATGTGCTATGGAGGGGTGACCTCATTGCTCTCTACAGCTTCCTGAGGAGGGGAAGCAGAGAGGGAGATGCTGATCTCTTCTCCTTGGGATCCAGAGTTAGGAGACATGGAAATAGTTCAAAGCTGCACTGGGGAGGTTTAGACTTGTCATCAGGAAGCACTGACTAACTGAGAGGGTTGTCAGACACTGGAACAGGCCTCCTGGAAAGGTGGTCGGTGCCCCAAGCCTGTCAGTGTTTAAGAGGCATTTGGACAATGCCCTTAATGACATTTTTTAATTTTGGTCAGCCCTGAATTGGTCGGGCAGTTGAACTAGATGATTGTTGTAGGTCACTTCCAATTGTAATAGTCTGTTCTATTCTATTCTATTCTATTCTATTCTATTCTATTCTATTCTATTCTATTCTATTCTATTCTATTCTATAGGTGACTGTAGCACACTGGCTCATTGGCTGATGTCTTATCCTTAGACTTGGGAGGTTTATTTTCTCTTGTAGCTGTTTGCTTCTCACCTGTTAGAAGTGCTAATATGGACATTTTCCAGCACTGCTCCATACTGTGGTATCTGACTCCCTCACCTGCATTAACATGTTTATCCTTCCAACCCATTGGTGAGTTCGGTAATACTGTTACCCTTGTTTTAAATGCTTCAGAGAGGTACGTGACTTCCTCCATCTCATCCATGGGGTTCTCAATCTGCTAAGCACAACTTCATCCTTACCGTCTCATGGATGTCCAAGACAGGTTAGTTTTAGTTTCTCTGTTATGCAATTATGTGTTTTTATTGGAGTTTTTAAACAACTCCAAGGAAAATAACTCATTAACAGATGGGAAAATAATTGAATTCACAAAGTGAAAACTGAACTAAACTTATGAAGCTCTGGATGTCTTCTCACAGGGGAGTCTGCTGCTCCCTTATTTAGACTGTTTCTCTAAAGCTGACGATTCATTTTACATTAGCAAATGCTTTAGGGAAATCCCATGTGCTTGCAGCTTCTGCAATAATAAGGCTAGATGTTAGTAAATAGTTAATGTTGTGGGACACTGGGATGTCAGCCAAATCCTCTCATTTTCTTTAATGTTTTCTAAGAGCTTGTCTGAAAGGTATTTGCAAGCAACACAATACTTCACAGATTGAACTTCTTATGGCTGGCACTCCTTTGTCCTCATTTTATGCACTGCCTGCTTGTCCTCCTAAAATTTGCTCCCCTGACCTGACATGTTACAGTCACTGGCCCTAGAGCTTTATTTTTCTAGCGCTATTCTATGCAGAAACCTATCATCTTAAGACATTAATAGAATTCCTCTTAAAAATTACTCTGCTAAAGTCCATGCTCACTAGCTCAGTAGTTAACAAAACATTCCGTTCAGATATTGAATTATCCAAATTGCTGAAGCCAATATACCTTGTCCAAAACTTGAGACCTTCGACTCATTCAATGGACACCTTTACTGATGTTCTCATCACCTGAATCCAAATCAAAATTGCCTTCCTGGTTTAAATCTCCTTCCTTGGACTGGCTTTATCGTGTTTTTCTCCTATCATGATATCTACCAACTGTTGCCCACACTCCCAGCTAGTCTTGGCTTTCTCTCATGCTTTGCAGCTGGGGGCTACTATCCTCTTTGTAGAGTCTGGATCCCCTTTCTTCTTTTCCTCTAAGCCAATGTATCTTACCTTAAAGCTACCTCTACTGTCTCCAGTCTTGAATACGCACCCACCACTGCCATTCTACTTCACCAAAGCGAAGTGCTATGTATTTCTGCAGGTAGAACAGATACAGCTCTTTAATCTTGGCCTGAGAAGTTTAGGTTCAAGCACATTAGGCAACATATCTAACCTGCTAATCTCCATAATATGCTTTGTCCATGAAAGGATACATGGCAATCTGCAGGGCTCAGAGCACTGAAAAAACTTGGAGCTCCTTATTAAGTAAGATATTACAAATGTCTAGCAAATTAAGCAAAAAAATGAGTTGCTCCTTCACTCTGTATTCTGAATAAAGTTTGTGGTTCCCCACTGCTGGTAGCGGACATTTATGAGCAGCCTGAGGGGCTTGTATCTGACAAGACATGCATGCAGGGAGAAACAACACAGGGATCAGGTTTTAACTCCACATAACAGCACCACTCAGCAGTGCAGCGTGGCATGAAGGTGTTACCTGTGCTTGTCCGCCCGAGTGCAGCGGGGGGTGCGGCGACGTCTGGTGATGTGCCGGGTGCGCGTGAAGGTGCGAGTGGGAGTGGTGGTGGGGATGGTTCTGCTGGTGGTGAGGCTGAGGGTGAGGGTGGTGCGCTGGGTGCTGGTGCTGGTGCGGGTAGGAGTGATGAGGTGGCAGCGTCTGGTGCTGATGAGGATGTGAGTGCATATGATGGTGGGGCGTCTGGTCCTGCCGCGAGCTCATCATTTCCATCATGTGGCCCATGGTGTTCATATTCCCGTTCGACATGGCGGCAGGATGATGAGTCAGTGCTGCCTTCAGTCTCTGGAACAGAGGAAGGCAGAGAATTCCAACATTCATGCATGATGATCTGAGCAATTAGAGTAAGATTTCTGTCGTGCTAGAAATGCTGCCTTCTCCTGTGTTTTGAGATTCATTTAGGTTTTTTCTTGCTGTTCCCTTGATAAAAGTCATCTTATTTCAGTTTGAGAAATACCATATTCTTGGGCTCTAATTTAGTTTTCCACTGTAAATACGTAAAGACATAAACATCTGAACTGAAATTTAACAGTTACACATTTCCTACTGTGCTGCTGAGGAAAAATAACTGGCTCTCACCCTTTTCCCTTTGGCCAGCTCAGTAGCATTAGCTTTATCAAGCTTGTACTCTTGCAACTTTTAAAAATGAAAGTCTGATTAAAATAAAGGTGCAACAAAGTTTCCCTCTTGTTTTTACTACTGATATTATTGGAAAGACTAATTGATAAATATGTTGTATTGGTGTGTTTTTCAAATTCAGGCTCAAATACATTCTACAGTTGTACTAGCACCCAACCCGGTCTTTCATCAGAAAGACAGAAAAATACTGAGGTCCTCAACCTAGTCTTTTTTCTTTGAAATAATTATTTGAACACTTTCAAACATCTGCTGAGTTTTTATCACATGCTAACCCCTCTCTCTGTTTTGTACTCCTTATGTTTTGTACTGTCACTGGATTGGGCTCTGGAGTCCTGACCAGGGCTTAACTCTCCTTAATGGGAGAAATCAATGGGATTTGTCTGCTTCTACTTGAATACCACCAAAGGGCAATGGGAAGAGCTGCCACATTTTGGATTGCAGGCTAGGACCCTTGAGTGCTAAAGCTATAGCTGAAATACAGAGAAAAATACATTATCTTCAGCAGAATTACATGGTCATCCCAAAGCTATAAGCTAGTGTCATCCTACTCTTGGGAGTACTGAAATCACTGGCATCCTAGAAGAGCTAGAGCCTGACAGATGTCAGCTAGGTGAAGGGCTTCTTCCAAAACCGTGAAAACCTCCTTGGCATCCACGGTTCTTCATCTGGTTTAGCAGAGAGTATTATCTACAGGCAGCCACCCAAGACCTCTTTACATCTTTATGTTTTTGAAGAAGTCAACGTAAGCTTGGTTTACTCTGCCTTATGCAAGTAATTAGTAATCAGAAAAAGACAAAAAGGGAGGGAAGTCCAAGGTATCGCTTGATGTCAGACTATCATGATCTGAAGTATCCAGACAGAAGATATCATGCATAGTAGATAGCTCATCAGTTAGAAATGCCACCAATAGGACAACCAGCAAGAAACAAGAGGACAGAGGTGTGCCTTTCCCCACAGAAGTATCTGTGGATCACAGATCATGGTCAGATGATCCTACAAGCCAATGTAGCTAAAATCTGCCAGTGGCAGAGCAATGAAGAGACTGAACTGCTTTTTGGTTTTGTCTTTAAAGGAAAGAGAGTGACTGCCAGGACTCTAAGAAACTATAAGCATGAATGTCAATCTACTCTACTAATATTGAAATAACATCTGTCTGTGCAACTTCACTGAAAGGCCACAGGTAAAACCTCTTATGTTCAGATCTGCAGCCCTATTGTGTTTTTGCATCTGGGAGTGAGGAAGAAACAAATTCTTAAGGAAGAAAAAAAAAAAAAAAAAGAAAAAAAAAGAGAAAAAAAAAAAGAAGATTGTGGAAGGCAAAAAGAAGTAACAGGGTCACTTCAGAGTATCATCCTGAAATTTTTGTATCCCACAAGTTTTTGCAGATTTCATGAATGTCATTCCACCAAGGCACACTAATAAATCAATTAAAAAAAAAAAAAAAAAAAAGGGAAAGAAAAAAGGAAAGATACCTTTGCAAAACACATCAGTGCTTCAGTTTTTGTGAAGGAAAACTGGACTGATGACTTTTAAGAAGTTTCCTTAAGAAAAGTTTTCAAACCATGACCACACTATGGCATGAGTCACAACTTAATGATCTTCTGAAAAAGAGATCGAGGCAAATTTATCTGGCATTAAGGTTAAAAACCTCCTTCTCTACCTCTGAAACTAGAATGGAGCTCAATCTAACATCAACACCTGCAACTCATCCTGGGTATAAAATGGAGGTTTTGAGTAGCTGTTGTCCTTAACTTGTCAAATTTGACTGCTACCCTGGTTACTGCAAGCAGCTCTTCATATTTCTCCGAATAACTGGTGTTATCCAGGAGTGCATTAGGAAAAATACGGAGAACAGCACATGAGTAAGTCGAGTCATTCTGCATGTCATTCTTTAAAAGTTGCTAAGACCTTTTTTATGGGGCTGAGCCACCACACAGATCTAAGCTGAAGCACCTATAAAAGCAGTTGGAACTTTGTTTTCTGAATCAAAATGCAAAAATACAAGCACTGATTAGCTAGCAGTTTTATGTGATGACTACTTAACAAAATCTACCAATGCTATATTTGTGAAAGACCTCTGAAACTGAACTATAACATATCTCATTCTAAATGGAAGACTTCCAAAGCCAAAAGAAAAGAAAAGGAAAAAAAAAAAATACGGAGGGAAAATCTTAATCTGCAAATAAAGATATTTTTTTCAGCTGTAAAAACTGTGGCTTATTAGTGTGGCGCAACTTCAAGGAGAACAAATTATTTTGTTTTCTTTCCATAGCCCCTTCTACCACATCCATTTATTTGAGATAGCAAATCAAGAGAGACAGTGAGAGGTCTGACACGCAGCTGGTTTCAGTCAATAGGGGTCATTTCCATTTGGTCTGTGTATTTTACAAGCTCCTTGTTCACTGTTCCCAAAGGGAGGGTGGGCCAGCTGCCCTGGATCCCAGTCCTGGTAAGAAACCAGCTCTCTACCTCATCCTGACCCAGCACAGCAACAACCATTGCCTGGCCCTTGCCTCCCTTTAACTTCATGCTCAGCCCAGCTCCACAGCAGCAACAGCCCTGCCTGCACAGCGGCTATTCTTTTATACATTAACCCAGCCACTGCTGCCCATCAGAAATATGTAAGGACTGATAAGCTTTTTCTTTTTTTTTTTCCTTTGGTCTTCAGTGAGATCAATTGTTTGGGATGTTTTAGTTAAAGCACGGGGAGGGGGGAAATCACCAGCACTTGGTGAACTCTTTGCATTGAGTGTGCATAGAGCTGGAAGGGCAGGCTGCATTTTTGTTATTGTTCTTCTTCTATGTGCTAATTGCAAACAGCTGTTTTAGTTTAGTGTCACACAAAATGCGATGGCATCAAAATTGAGCTTGCTGGACTGACTGCATTAGCAAACCCCCTCTAGAATGAAATGATAACCCAGGATCTGACCGTGCAGCTGCTCAGTTTTTCAGGAACTGTGTGGCTGACTTCACCAGAGCCTGCAGGTATCTGACAGTTCATAGTGTGAGGCTGAAACAGAGGACTCAGTTCTCAGATCTCCTTTCACCAAGGAAAAAAATAATTCTGCTAACCTCAGGGACAGTGGTTTTTAGGGCACAGTCCCTCTTCTCTCCCTTTTATAGTGCAGTTTTCAAAAAACTCCCCACCAACCTCAAGCCAAGAGGAAATGCAGGTGCTCACCTTGCCTGGCTTTTGGCCCATACTGATTATTATTTCATCAAAGTAACATAGTGATCAACATCAGTCACACTCAATCATGACAATACCATTAATGGCTATCAATAACATGGACAACATAAGAAATCTTTCACAGACAATAGCCTGCTTTGTCTCTGATCAAGTGAATAAAGAAAATTCCCTTTTGATCCTACAGGAAGGCAGAAGCACATAAACTCTCATCTTTGATGCCTAGAAGGAAATAGAAGCAGTGGCTAATACTGCTTCACAGGTATGAATGTTATACTGTTGATGATGGTAATACCCCTAACTGACCTATTTACTCTGAAGCCACCCCACTGAACATCTTATGAAGTTAACACCTCAAAGAAGTTATTGTTGTACCTGGAATACTGGTTGTTTATTTTGTTGGGTTTTTTTTGGAAAGAGTTTTCACAGTGCTTCCTCCACCTAAAGCCTGACATCATGGTGCAGTGAATTCCTTGATGTTTCTTTTTATCGACACAGACCTTAATTGATTCACTGAACATCTTTGGGTAAACCTTAAGTCTGCAAAAAATGGGCTACAAGCATTTGAGATCATGAATGAAAAATAATATCAGCTTCCCTCATTTTTCTACAGTTCAGGACCTTGCTGCTTTTGAATTTTTCTGTATTATTACATGTATTTCAAGGTTGCCTTGGTTTTTGCCCCACCTGTCCTTCTCCGAAATTGCTAGTGAAAAACGCAGCATTTTTTTCAGTTTGTTAGAAGAAGTTAAAAAAAAAAACAAAATATAAAAACCAAGTCACAACAAAACACAAAACTTCATAGTATCATAGAATCATACAATGGTTTAAGGTTGGAAGGGACCTTAAAGATTACCAGGTTACAACCCCCTTGCATGGGCAGGGACACCCCACACTAGACCAGGCTGCACAAAGCCTCATCCAGTCTGGGCAACCTATTCCAGTGCTGTATATTACATATCTGTATATGACAATAAACTACAACTTTCATTTATTCCTCAGTGGAGAAATGACAAAAATCTCCTCCAATGTTACAGATGTTATCACCTGAGCTGTCTGTGCTTGCATCAAACAATAAACTATTGTATCATCCAGCTGAATTTTAGGTTGGGACAGACATGGAGTGCTGGTTTTGAATAGGATTGAATTGTTCTGAATAAGTATGCATTGCTGCACTCAGAAAAAACACCTCCCTTCCTCTTCTGGTCTGCATGCCCAAATCCCACTAAATTAGGGAAGAGACAAGACCAGCTGTAGTATTATCTTAATGTCTGGTATATTCTTATCAGGAGATTATAACAGACCCCTGTAGGCAGCTGGAATATGATCTCAAATATATTTTCTTGCACTAGTGAATGTGCTTCTAGTCCCTGTTATACAGGGGTGTAATAAGTTCCCTAAAGGGGACAGAAGAGTCTAGAGAGGGGTGGGAAATCAGAAAATTTCACAGACATAAGAA